CCATTTCTTTTTAAAACTCAATGATCGATGGAAAGAAAGTCTTTGCAACAGCATCAGACACGCTCTGCTCTCCCATCTATTCTGTATGCAATTCCTGGGGCTTCTGAGATTGAAAAAGTAATGCTGGTTGAGGCCATTTATCTAGTTATGTGGCAGCTGCAAATTCAGTTGCTCTGGAAACAATCTAATCTTCTATCTCCCAGTTACGTTTAATGGCTGGATTAATGTAACAACCACTTATATCTGGAAATCCATCTTGGCTATATTGTCAGGGCCATGTAGAATGGTAAGTAGAAGGAGGGTTTATTGATGTATAAAACCATAAGCTTCTTTAACATTTATGTGAATGAAAATGATGCTCAGATTATTTAATATTTCCATGATAGATTATTCTTAGGAGACAGAGACAGACATGCATTCAGAGAACAAATGAGAGACATTATTTTAAATGAGGTCACATGGAGATCGGTGCACAATGCCATACACAAACATCCAGAGCAGAGAGGGGACCCAGAGGAAGAAGAATACATGTGAAGGTCTCTGTCTTGGACAAGTATAGACTGAACTGCTACAAGCCATAGGTAGTCAATAAAAATGTAAACATCCATTTGATGTAGACTCAGCTTCAAGAGTTGTAAAGCGTTCATTAGAAAGTATGTTTGACATTTTCTTGACTAGTCAAAACGTAAATGGGCCAATCGGTGCACACACTGGGAGGAAGGGAAGACAAGAAACTTTGGAAATACTCCTGATGGTGATTTGTTGGAACCCCTGACAGCTTTCAACCAATTTAGAAGCCAGAAGCCCAGGTGGATAGGATATTGTTTCTGGTGTGAAGAGGGTGGTGTACAGGAAGGCTGCCAGTAGGGGGCAGTCAAGCTACAGAGAGGTGTTTGGTTGGTGGGGAGGCTGGGGACCCCAGGGAAGCGACCACATGACTGCTCCCCTCCAGGGGCAGTGCTGAGGGCCCTGAGGACATCACCACAAACCACAGAGCCAAGGACACCTATGGGCACGCCTAAGGCCATTGTTCTTGCTGAGGAATCGATTTAAGGCACTGGACATGAAGGAGGAAGGAGCTTCAGAGGGGTCTGTTCCCATTCAGGGTCAAGTGGGAAGGTGGCCCCCAGATGCCCAGCCCTGCCCTAAGGAAGTGGGGGGAGCTGTGAGGAGCAGAACGAGCCCAAGGGCATCCCTTGAAGGCAGAAACCCTCACATTTAAAGGCCGGCTCAAGGGCAGTCAAGTATGGCGCAAGCCCGGGGCACATGGGTCGATTCACTCAGGTTAGCCCGGCACCCTTCCTCACACATGGTGCACGCAGAGGGTGGGGTGGGCCCCCAGGCCAAGTCCCAGGGGGTGCCAGGTAAGACGCCCCAAATATGAAAGATATCGGAGGGAGGCAACCAGATTAGAGGGGGGATCATCACGCTCAATGTCCATTCACCTTGAAATTGGGGTATGGCACTGGTGACCCTCGCCACGCCTGGCACAGCGACCTATCAGCGTGTCCCCAGAGGCAGGGCTATGCCACTCCCGCCCACCCACCGGTGTCCACTGGTACCTGGGCACCCAGACAGACTCAGCCTTCGAATGCCCTTGAGTGCTCCTGAGAGTATGAGAGCAGATGCATTTTAAACAACAGAATGTGGGCTTGATAACAGTCCAAGTTTTAATAGCATAGTAAAATATTTATCTCACTCTTTCTCACCAGCAAGCAATCAACCCATAGCACACAGACACAATGTGGAAACATCAAGGTCTGCTCAGCAACAGCCAGATGCAACCACTTCACATTAAAAAGGGGGGAAAAAAATCCATCAGTTAATGGGAAAAGCAGACCCACCGCCGGGCAAATGCACCCGAGATCAGCTCTCCTGCCCAATAGGAAGGAGGAGGCTGCTGGAACATGACAGATGGATGCCTTACTCCTCAGACTCCTGGCTCTTCAGCTGCGGAATCACGAGCGGTGGGCCTTTCTCAGGTTTGGGTTCTTAACATGTTGGATAATCCCACTCACATTAATCTCCCTCTTGACCCTAAATGCATCTCTTGGTCTCACCCAAATGCCTGATTTCCTTTTTGATAAATAACACCAAGCGTGTGCAGGGGTCAGGCACTGGGGCTGGGGCATCGATAAATAATATTCTTTCTCTAAAGACAGGGACATAATGGTCCTCATTTCTTGGGTTTGTTACAGTGAAGTTGGAAGACCGTGGGAGCCAGCAAACCTGACGTAGAAATTCAAATGGAAGGGAAGGCTCTAAAGACAACAGTCCTGCTTTCCCAGGTGAGGAGAGTCAGGACTGAGCTTGCTGGGGTCATCCCTTGTACTATCTTCTTTCTTGTGGGGTACGCCCCTCTCTTGGGCCCCTCAGGGCAGGTGGAAGCAGAAGAGGAGCAGAAGGAGGCAAGGAGTTGTGGAAGACACTCAGCAGGTCTTCACAGAGATGAGGTGGGTGGGGTCTGTCCATGTCTGCTGCCAGGCTAGCTGAACAAGGTGTCCCTGTGAGCTACTGGCTGAGGGCCTGAGTGAGTTTGTGGGGTGGAAGGTGGGCACTGATCCTCAGCAGGATAGGACAATTGGAGATCAAGTAACTAGGATCCAGAAACAAACACACAGCCCCATAGCTTACCTTTTTTGTTTTCTATACTTGGTTGCAAGGAACCCTGGTCTTGTAGTGAATTTCCGAGCCAGGCTGCTAGTCACATGATCAATAGTGCAAATCTACCAGGGGCTCCTCTGGAGAAAGATGAGGCTTTCTGCTCCCGTGAAGATCTACAGCCTTGGAGACCCTATATAGAATCGCTATGAGTTGGAACTGACTCCATGGCACACAACCATCACCATACTTGGATGTAGGAGTCCTGGTATGGCACTAAAGGATAAGCACTGGACTGCAACTGCAAAGCTGATGACAGTTCAAATCCACCCGCTGTTCCTTGGAAATCCTATTAGGGTTGCTATGAGATGGAACCAATTTGACGTAATAACAACATACTTGGATGCAGTATGGAAAATAAAACAAGTAATCCTGCAGTTGTTTTTTTTCCCAACACAAATTACTCTGTTCTGTGAGGAGACGGTTTCACTCCAAATAAAACTTGATGTTGTCTTCCCTCTACTCCCTCTCTTCTCCTCTCCTCTCAAATGACAACTCTCAGTAGAAAAAGTATTTTTTTCCCCCGTGAATGCCAATATACTTTGGGGCTTCTTGATCTAAGGACCTGATCTCTGGTAAGGCAGAAAGGGAGCAAGTGCGTTCTCTGGAACATGAGTGGGTTGGCTGATGTATCCCAGGGTAGAAACAGCTGAGCTCCCTGCAGTCGCCTCCTAACGACTTGCTCCTGGAGTAAGATGCCTGGGCCTTCCTAGACGATACATTTAGAAGAATTCTTGAAGAAGCACTTTTCTGAATTCCGTTCTGATTAGCATCAAGCTAAGAATCATGGTCCATGTGGTCTCAATCATTTCCTCCTCATTTCCTGATTCCTTCTCCAGGGTCTCGTGTGGCCCTTTAGAGATTGGGTGACACAGTAACACAACGCAGGGTCATGACGGGGGCTTGATGGTGTCCATTCCCCGAGCGTCCTCTCCTGCTACCACGTGCTGGCCTTTGGCAAGTGCCAAGCAAATCCCTCTAAAAACAGCCCAAAACCATTGGAGTGGAGGTGACCCCATGTGTGTTAGAGTATAATGCATCCCACAGGATTTTCACGAGCTGATGTTTTGGAAGTAGGTTGCCAGACCTTTCTTCCTATGTACCCCTGGGTGGACTGAAACTTCCTTTTCAGTTAGCAGCTGAACACATCAGCTGTTTGCACCTCCCAAGGACTCCTAAATGCCTGTAAAAATGCATTCAAAAGAAATGGTTAACAAAAAATAGATGGGAAATCTACTGTCACCTAGAAATCATCCCCAAATATTCCACAATTCAAACACTAGAATTTGGGTTGTTCCGGGTTCCTCATTCCTTACTAAAACCTGTGGCTGCTATAGAGCCGATATCCTCCTCACCGCGACCCCACGTGTGACAGAGAGCAGAGCTCCATAGGGTTTTCTCGGCTGTCATCTTTACGGAAGCTGATTGCCAGGCCTTTCTTCTGTGGTGCCACCGGTGGGTTCAAAACAACAACTTTTAGGTTCGCAACCTATCACAAACCACTTGTGCCAGCCAGGGACCTCATTTCTTGCAGGAAGCTGGGAAAGAGGACTGTACGCAGATGGAAAATCATAGAGGAGGCCATTTTATTGGGTGTCCACAAAAAGTTTCATCACACAAGAAAGTGACGATTCTGTGGTAGGGGGTGGCACAACACAACACCAGATCTAAACAGAAGGTTAAATGATGCTAACGATGAGCAACGCCCAGCCCCCCCTCCCCCCAGCCTCAGCACGAATCTTTGAGCAGCGTCCATTTGCTTCGGCGTGTTGCTCCGTCTTCCAATGAAACAGCGCTTGGATAGTCACGAAATCAACAAAAAAGCAGCATTGCCCTTTTAATACCCACACCACTGCAGCACACACGTAGCGCGGCATGCAAATCCACAGCTGGTCTGGTTGGTTTTTTTACCCCCCTTTAGTTTTTTTGTTTTTTGTTTTTAATTAATAAACGGAACGGCAATTGTCGATTGCGAATATTAGTAGCGTAACACGTAAGTGCATTTCTGTCTGGGACCAAGTCATCAGCTTTGTGATTGTTACAAGGGCAACAGGCACACAGCGTCCCCTTCAGATACGGCTGCCCTCCCTCTGCCCACCCTTCGGATCCGAAGCCCCTGAGAAGAGCGTCTTCTCCCGTTTCATTCTGTAGGAGTGGGGAAGAAAGTTCCAACCTCACAATGCTCTAAGAAAGCATCTGAGTCCTGCCCTCTTTCCCCCCTCCACCCCTACCCCCAGCGTCAGAGCTGGATCAGTTCTACCTCAGGACCCCGAGTGGTCACTTGCACAGGGGAGTCTTAGCGTGTCGCCATGGCAGTGTCCCTGCTCGCCACTCCCGCCTGTGGCTCACACGGAACTGAGCTTGACCAGGCCGCGCACAGAATCCTCGTGCAGAGAGTCCTGACTGACCAGGCCCAGTGAGTGCATGGTGCGGCTGTGGGCCAGCGGGCTGCCGGCCAGCATCCGGGGTGGGGAGGGTGCCTCCTCGGGCGTCAGGAACTGGTGGCCCACGAGCTCCTCTTTGAGGGGCAACATGTCCGCGAGTGTGGCCTCGGAGGACAGATTGGGCATGGAGGAGGGCGGTGTGGGCTGGCCCAGTGTCAGGCTGGTGCACGGTGTGCCCAGGCTGGCCTTGCCAGGTAGGTGCAGCTCGTCACTGGTGAGGCTGGGCTCGCTCTGCAGCAGGGGTGTGGCCGCGGCCTGCAAAACGAATTTGGTGCTCTGAATGCACTGGTCTTGGTCACACTGGAGAGCGAGGCAGTCAGCAAAGAGAGGGGAAACGGGGAGAGGGGCAGGGGGTGTGGAAGGTGAGAAGAGAAAGACTGGTTAGTGATTGCAGGTGGTCAGCAGCATGCAGAAGACACCAGTTCCATTTGGAGGTAAAACCAGCACCTGCTAATTACTTATGGAGCCCCTGGGTGTTAAGCAGTTGACTACAAGGTGAAAGGTCAGCAGTTTGCACCCCCTTGGAGGCACCTGGGAAGACAGGTCTGGTGATCTGCTTCTCAATGCCTGGAGAACTTTAAGGAGCAGTTCCTTATTGAGCCAAAAGGAAGCGGAATCAACTAAACAGCACTTAGGGGAGACTGGTGGCACAGAGGGTCAGGCCTTGGCTGTTAACTGCAAGGTCAGCAAGTCAAAACTTACTAGCCACTCCGTGGGAGAAGGGGGAGGCTTTCTGCTCCTGTATAGATGTACAGCCTCAGGGTGGCTGAGTCAGAACTGACCCAACAGCACACAACAACAATAAAACAGCACTTATGTACCTGACCAGACAAATCTGTCATCCACAAGATCTGTCCACATGCAGGGAGTAATGGAAACTCAGAGAGGACGGGACTTAATGACAACTGTGCTCATTAGCGTCACAGACTTGGACCACCTACGCCGTGGTGTCTGAGCGGCTGTTTTTATAAGCTGAAAACTATTCTCAGCCCACTGCTTTAAACGTATAGGAACAACAGAAGTCCCTAAGGGGCTGGCCAGACGTGTCAAAGCTCTAGAACCAACCACCTGGTGCTGATTTTTCATGGGCTTCTATAACCATTACCTGAGCTGCGATGGTTTGCTTTTTACCAATGAAAGACAACGTCAGCATTTAAAAAGATATTCCCTTTACTTCTAAATGTTTGCAAATCCTATGACTTCTTGTGTATTTTAATTCATTCTTAACTCACTTGGCAAAGACACCACATTTTAGACCACTGAGCATCGATTATAACTTTGCAAACCCTTCTTTGAACTGTCTAAGTCGGGATTTCTGGAACAGCTGGAGGAGTTGGTATGACTTGGAACCCGCCCTCAGCCTAAAGCCTGGTCCACACACCAGTCCTCCACGCAGCTTCTTTTCTGGGCAATGGGTTCTTCAGAAAACAACAACAACAAACATTTGTGTGTGTTTTGGGTGAAAGTTTACACAGCAAATTAGATTCTTGTGTAACTATTTCTATAGAAACTGTTCATTGGCATTTGCTCACATGTTTCCCTGTGTTAGCATTCACTTTACTTCCGTTCTGGTTGTTCCCTGTCTAATAATCTAGTTTCCCTGCCCACTTTCTGCCTCATCTAAGCTTTAGAGTAATTGTTGCCCATTTGGTCTCATACAGACGAATTTTTAAAAAAAGGATCACAGAACTCAAGGGTGATACTGTTTATTTTATGAGACATCTATTACTTAGCTAGAAGGTGGCCTCCGTGGGTACCTTCAGTTCAAGGTTTATGGGTTATCTCAGGGAGATGGTCTTGGGGACTTGGTTCAACAAGTCTGGACATTTTGAGAATTTGAAATCGGTTCTACAATTGTCTCCCATACTATTAAGATTTGGGTGATTGACTCTGGTTTTCAACTTTCCCATCTAGAGACCTCACAATCTGGATCCCACACAACACTCTGAAGGAGTAAACTAAAATTAGATTTGCTTGTTTCTGTTGATCTGAAGAAAGCCTTTGTTTTAAACAGAAAACAAATCAGCAAATTCTATCTTAGGGATCAGCCTGAGTATCTCTCACTGGCTCTTGGTGTTATTGTTGTTAAGTGTCATCGAGTCAGTACTGACTCATAGCAACCCTATACACAACAGAACTCAACACTGCCTGATCCTGGGCCAACCTCACAATTGTTGCCACGCTTGAGCCCATTGACACTGCCATTTTGGCTCTTAGAGACTCAGAAAACTACCATGTGACGGTTACAAGGTAACCACCTGGGTGGTGCCAACACGCTCAGCTGCTGAGGTTACAGGTACCTTGGAAGAAAGGGCTGGCAGTCGACTTCTGAAAACTCAGCTACTGAAAACCCCATGAAGCTCAGTGGCATTCTGACATACATGGAGGTCATCCTGAGCTGCAGTCACCTGGATGAAAAAGCGGGATGGTCGCCTTGGAGGACATCAAGGTCAGCGGGCACAACAGAGTCCCACTTTGCAATCCCACTTTGCATCCCACTTTGGTCTGGTGACTGGGGTCTTAAAACTTGTGAGCGACCATCTAAGGTACAACTGTTGGTTTCTCCCTGTCTGGACACATGGAAGCAATGAGTCCAAAGGACTAACGGACCACTGGACCCTCAGTCTCCAAGACCCTGAGACCAGAAGAACTAGATGGTGCCCAGCTACTATGTCCAACTACTCTGAAAAGGATCACTTAGGAGGTCCGGAATAGAATGGGAGAAAAATGTGGAACAAAACTCAAAATAATTTAAGAGCACCAGCTTCCTGTTGGGATAGTGTCAAGGACTAAATTGTGTTGCCCCCATCTCCCTCCCACCCCAGAAAAAAAATGTGTCAGCTTGTCTGCACCATGATTCTAAGTGACTTGATGTGCTAAGCCAGTAAGAATCTTAGGGTGGTATGTTGTTGTTATGTGCTGGCGTGTTGTTTCCAGCTAAAAGTGATCCTGTGTATGGTTTCAGAGCTGTAAATCTTTACGGGGACAGAAAGCCTCATCTTCCTCCTGTGGAGCAGTTGGTTAGTTCAAACTGCTGATCTCATGGTTTGCAGTCCCATGCTTAGTCCTATGGAGATACTGCTCTCCACACCAGGACTTTTGATATTGTTAAGTGTCGCTACGTCAGTTTCCGAGGAGCAGCTTGTGAGTTTGAGTTGCCCACCTTGTGAATCAAATGACCTTGCGGTCCCAGTGCTTATTCTACAGCACCACACCAGGACTCCAACACCACCGCTAATCCCACCACAACCTGTAACATCTTACAAGAGATGAAAGAGATGTGGGCACTGGAAGATGGACCTGCTACCACCAAGAGAGAAGAACTGGGGTCCCTACACTGGGAAGCTCCTAGAGCCAGGGGAAAATTGATGCCAAGATGTATGGAGATCTCCAGGGAACACAGGAAGAAAGCAAAAGGTCATGAAAAGGGTAAGAAAGAAAAGACAAAAATGGATGTTAGGAGAGACTCTGAAACTTGCTCTTGAGTGGAGAGAAGCTAAAGCAAATGGAAAAAAATGAGAAAATAAAAGAGTCGAAGAGAAAACATCAAAGGGTGGTCCAAGAAGACAGTGTCAAGTGTTATAACGAGAAGTGCAAAGACCTTTAGTTAGAAAACCAAAAGGGTTTCTCAAGATTAAAGAACTGAAGACAAAACTGAAGAAGCCTTCACTTGCAATACTGAAGGAGTCTATGGCCAAAATGGATTCCTGGTGCGGTACTATAGGATAAGGACTGGACTGCAAGGTTGGTTTGAACTGCCAGGTCAGAAGTTCAAGTCCACCAGTCACTTCCTGGAAACCCTATATTGGATTGCTATGAGTTAGAACGGACTTAACAGCATTTAACAACCACAACATGGGCAAGATCTTGAATGATTCAGGAAGCAGCTAAAGAAGACAGAAAGGATAGAGTCACTGCACCAACAAGAATTGTTCGACGCTCAACCGTTTCAAGAGGCAGCATGTGATCTATTTACCCACAAGACAAATGAGCCACATCATGGGAAGATATATG